ACAAAACCAATACATTACACAGGGGGCAATCACTGTATGATTACTAACACATTACACAGGGGGCGATCACAGTATGATTACTACCACATTACACAGGGGGCGATCACAGTGTGATTACTACCACATTACACAGGGGGCGATCACAGTATGATTACTACCACATTACACAGGGGGCGATCACAGTATGATTACTACCACATTACACAGGGGGCGATCACAGTATGATTACTACCACATTACACAGGGGGCGATCACAGTATGATTACTACCACATTACACAGGGGGCAATCACTGTATGATTACTACCACATTACACAGGGGGCGATCACTGTATGATTACTACCACATTACACAGGGGGCGATCACAGTATGATTACTACCACATTACACAGGGGGCGATCACAGTATGATTACTACCACATTACACAGGGGGCGATCACAGTATGATTACTTCCACATTACACAGGGGGTGATCACTGTATGATTACTACCACATTACACAGGGGGTGATCACTGTATGATTACTTCCACATTACACAGGGGGCGATCACAGTATGATTACTACCACATTACACAGGGGGCGATCACAGTATGATTACTACCACATTACACAGGGGGCGATCACAGTATGATTACTACCACATTACACAGGGGGCGATCACAGTATGATTACTACCACATTACACAGGGGGCGATCACAGTATGATTACTACCACATTACACAGGGGGCAATCACTGTATGATTACTACCACATTACACAGGGGGCGATCACAGTATGATTACTACCACATTACACAGGGGGCGATCACAGTATGATTACTACCACATTACACAGGGGGCAATCACTGTATGATTACTACCACATTACACAGGGGGCAATCACTGTATGATTACTACCACATTACACAGGGGGCGATCACTGTATGATTACTACCACATTACACAGGGGGCAATCACTGTATGATTACTACCACATTACACAGGGGGCGATCACAGTAGGATTACTACCACATTACACAGGGGCGATCAAAGTATGATTACTACCACATTACACAGGGGGCAATCACAGTATGATTACTACCACATTACACAGGGGGCAATCACAGTATGATTACTACCACATTACACAGGGGCGATCAAAGTATGATTACTACCACATTACACAGGGGGCGATCACAGTAGGATTACTACCACATTACACAGGGGGCAATCACTGTATGATTACTACCACATTACACAGGGGGCGATCAAAGTATGATTACTACCACATTACACAGGGGGCGATCACAGTAGGATTACTACCACATTACACAGGGGGCAATCACTGTATGATTACTACCACATTACACAGGGGGCGATCACAGTATGATTACTACCACATTACACAGGGGGCGATCACAGTATGATTACTACCACATTACACAGGGGGCAATCACTGTATGATTACTACCACATTACACAGGGGGCAATCACTGTATGATTACTACCACATTACACAGGGGGCGATCACAGTATGATTACTACCACATTACACAGGGGGCAATCACTGTATGATTACTACCACATTACACAGGGGGCGATCACAGTATGATTACTACCACATTACACAGGGGGCAATCACTGTATGATTACTACCACATTACACAGGGGGCGATCACAGTATGATTACTACCACATTACACAGGGGGCGATCACTGTATGATTACTACCACATTACACAGGGGCGATCAAAGTATGATTACTACCACATTACACAGGGGGCGATCACAGTAGGATTACTACCACATTACACAGGGGGGCAATCACTGTATGATTACTACCACATTACACAGGGGGCGATCACAGTATGATTACTACCACATTACACAGGGGGCGATCACAGTATGATTACTACCACATTACACAGGGGGTGATCACTGTATGATTACTACCACATTACACAGGGGGCAATCACTGTATGATTACTACCACATTACACAGGGGGGCGATCACAGTATGATTACTACCACATTACACAGGGGGCGATCACTGTATGATTACTACCACATTACACAGGGGGTGATCACAGTATGATTACTACCACATTACACAGGGGGCGATCACAGTATGATTACTACCACATTACACAGGGGGCGATCACAGTATGATTACTACCACATTACACAGGGGGTGATCACTGTATGATTACTACCACATTACACAGGGGGCGATCACAGTATGATTACTACCACATTACACAGGGGGTGATCACTGTATGATTACTACCACATTACACAGGGGGTGATCACTGTATGATTACTTCCACATTACACAGGGGGCGATCACAGTATGATTACTACCACATTACACAGGGGGTGATCACTGTATGATTACTACCACATTACACAGGGGGCGATCCACGTATGATTACTACCACATTACACAGGGGGTGATCACTGTATGATTACTACCACATTACACAGGGGGTGATCACTGTATGATTACTTCCACATTACACAGGGGGCGATCACAGTATGATTACTACCACATTACACAGGGGGCGATCACAGTATGATTACTACCACATTACACAGGGGGCAATCACTGTATGATTACTACCACATTACACAGGGGGCAATCACTGTATGATTACTACCACATTACACAGGGGGCGATCACAGTATGATTACTACCACATTACACAGGGGGCGATCACTGTATGATTACTACCACATTACACAGGGGGCTCACAGTATGATTACTACCACATTACACAGGGGGCGATCACTGTATGATTACTACCACATTACACAGGGGGTGATCACAGTATGATTACTACCACATTACACAGAGGGTGATCACAGTATGATTACTACCACATTACACAGGGGGTGATCACTGTATGATTACTACCACATTACACAGGGGGTGATCACAGTATGATTACTACCACATTACACAGGGGGCGATCACAGTATGATTACTACCACATTACACAGGGGGTGATCACAGTATGATTACTACCACATTACACAGGGGGCGATCACAGTATGATTACTACCACATTACACAGGGGGCGATCACAGTGCTTTAGTTTGCTAATTGTTTTTCTCAGGCAGGGAACGCTGTCACCATGACAACAGATGCATCACCTGAGGCCTCCTGCCCCACCGCTGCCCCCCCGTCTGTAGACCAGGACCAGCAGGAGGAGGGAGAGGAGCAGGAGGTGGAGGAAGAGGAGGAAGAGGAGGAAGAGGTGCAGGAAGTGGAGGAGGAAGAGTGTGTCAGCGCTCTGCAGCTCGTAGGAGGTCCGTCCAGGCTTTTATTTTGAAAAACTAGATTGTGTTATTCTGTTTTATTTTCAATGTGTTTCCCTGCAGGATGTGAAGAGATATTACAGACATTATAGTTGATATAAAAACCTGAACCTGATCCTGTTTTCAGATTACGGCTGCGAGGAGGACGAGATGAGTTTCGACCTGCAGTGATGGAGGTCACCTGACCCTCGCCTGCAGTGATGGAGGTCACCTGACCCTCACCTGCAGTGATGGAGGTCACCTGACCCTCACCTGGAGTGATGGAGGTCACCTGACCCTCACCTGGAGTGATGGAGGTCACCTGACCCTCACCTGGAGTTGTTTATATTGTAAAAAGGCTGTAGCTATAGATGCGTCTGTATTTTTATATGAATGTTAATATGACATAATTCCCTCCTGAAGCAGCTTCCTGCGGTTTCAACCATTGTACTGTTTTTTACGTGTACTTTGTGTAGTTTGTGTACTATGTGTAGTTTGTGTACTATGTGTACTTTGTGTATTTTCATTTTAATTAACTTCCTGAGATAAAAAAAATATGTATTTACAAAAATGGTGAAAATAAAACTCGTATTGATGTTACCTTTTATTTCATACCATCTCTTCCTCTACATCATATTCAGTCATTCCAGTCCTGACGCTAAGCTAGGCTAACCGTTTCCAAAGTTTCCAGTCCTGACGCTAAGCTAGGCTAACCGTTTCCAAAAGTTCCAGTCCTGCTGCTAAGCTAGGCTAACCGTTTCCAAAGCTTCCAGTCCTGACGCTAAGCTAGGCTAACCGTTTACAAAGTTTCCAGTCCTGACGCTAAGCTAGGCTAACCGTTTCCAAAGTTTCCAGTCCTGATGCTAATCTAGGCTAACCGTTTCCAAAGCTTCCAGTCCTGATGCTAAGCTAGGCTAACTGTTTCCAAAGCTTCCAGTCCTGCTGCTAAGCTAGGCTAACTGTTTCCAAAGCTTCCAGTCCTGATGCTAAGTGAGGCTAACTGTTTCCAAAGTTTCCAGTCCTGATGCTAAGCTAGGCTAACTGTTTTTAAAGCTTCCAGTCCAGATGCTAAGCTAGGCTAACTGTTTCTGAAGCTTCCAGTCCTGATGCTAAGCGAGGCTAACTGTTTCTAAAGCTTCCAGTCCTGATCCTAAGCAAGGCTAACTGTTTCCAAAGCTTCCAGTCCTGCTGCTAAGCTAGGCTAACCGTTTCCAAAGCTTCCAGTCCTGACGCTAAGCTAGGCTAACCGTTTCCAAAGTTTCCAGTCCTGACGCTAAGCTAGGCTAACCGTTTCCAAAGCTTCCAGTCCTGATGCTAAGCTAGGCTAACCGTTTCCAAAGCTTCCAGTCCTGCTGCTAAGCTAGGCTAACTGTTTCAAAAGTTTCCAGTCCTGATGCTAATCTAGGCTAACCGTTTCCAAAGCTTCCTGTCCTGATGCTAAGCTAGGCTAACTGTTTCCAAAGCTTCCAGTCCTGCTGCTAAGCTAGACTAACTGTTTCCAAAGCTTCCAGTCCTGACGCTAAGCGAAGCTAACTGTTTCTAAAGCTTCCAGTCCTGATGCTAAGCTAGGATAACTGTTTCCAAAGCTTCCAGTCCTGATGCTAAGCTAGGCTAACTGTTTCTAAAGCTTCCAGTCCTGATGCTAAGCTAGGCTAACTGTTTCCAAAGCTTCCAGTCCTGACGCTAAACTAGGCTAACTGTTTCTAAAGCTTCCAGTCCTGATGCTAAGCTAGGCTAACTGTTTCCAAAGCTTCCAGTCCTGACGCTAAGCGAAGCTAACTGTTTCTAAAGCTTCCAGTCCTGATGCTAAGCTAGGCTAACTGTTTCCAAAGCTTCCAGTCCTGACGCTAAGCGAAGCTAACTGTTTCTAAAGCTTCCAGTCATGACGCTAAACTAGGCTAACTGTTTCCAAAGCTTCCTGTCCTGATGCTAAGCTAGGCTAACTGTTTCCCCTGCAGAGGTCTCAGAGATTAGACATGTAACAGCAGACATACAACAGGCGGATTGTATATTTGTTTAATGTGTAGTTTAAATCCCCCAGACTGCAGCTCTGAGATAAAAACTCCGCCATGTCAGAGCACTACAACTCGATCGACCAGGGAATGCGTGATAGCGGTGGCAACACTGGACTGTGACTGGACGAGAGATTGCAGAGGGAAGTGACGAGGCAGGAAGCGAGTTAGGAGACATGGACGTAGCAGGCGGGAGTTGTGAAAATGGAAAATGGGATATAGTGAGGAGAAATAAACGTAAAAAGGCAGGAAATACTCATTCGGATGAGAGCAATAGTGAGGATGAATGGAGAGAAAGAGTAGTCGGAAATAGGCAACAGGAGTTCATGGTGGTTGTGGAACTTGCGCAAGAGGGAGCTTCGTTCAGCGTGTGGAACCCTATGCGGTTAACTAAACCCATCAGTAACGACATCGGGGAGGTAATGAGTGCTAACGTATTGAGGAATGGATCAATGATGATCAAATGTAGGGATAGAGAGCAACAGGGGAGAGCAATACAGATGAGTACCGTTGAGGGTAAGAAAGTGGAATGTTCACTGTTCAGTGGCAGAAAGCTAGTCAGGGGAGATGTGAAAGGAATCCCCGTCAGAATAGCAGCTGATGATGTGAAAGGGAATATAACAAATGCAAAAATAAGTGATGTCAAACGCATGAAAGCAAACCGCAATGGGATTAAAGAAGATAGTCTTTCGGTTCTGATCACCTTTGATGAAAAAAGGCTTCCAGAAAAGATACTTATTGGATATATCTGTTATGATGTGAGACCGTATGTTCCACCACCGCTAAGATGTTTAAATGTCAGAGATGTGGACATGTGGCGGCAGTGTGCAAGGGAAAACAAAGGTGTGGCAGATGTGGTGGAGAACATGAATACGGAAAATGTGAAGAAGGGGCAAAGCTGAAATGTTGCAATTGCGGAGGGGAGCATAGCTCAGCGTACCAGGGATGTGAGGTTAGCAAGAAAGCATGAGAGGTGCAGCGAGTCAGGGTGACGCAGGGAGTTAGCTATGCAGAGGCAGCGAAGACAGTTTCTGGAGGAACGAAGGTTAAAATGGGAAACAACAATAAGAGCAAAGAAACTGGAAAACTCCACAACTGTGTTAAGTTGAAGGAGGACACTCTGATAGTGAGTAAAAGAGAGTACTGTTTATGGCAGAGATGATCAACTGTTCAGCGCAGACTACAAGCCGGAATGAAAGAATCTAAATAATTGTCAAATCATCTGAAAAGTACCTTGATGTGAAAGGGATGCACTGGGGACACGTGAAAGATATCCTAAATAATGACGTCCTACAACCTCAGACTGGATCATCCTGATGGTGGTAATTGCACTGCAGTGGAATGCTAGAAGTTTAATTGCAAATGGACAAGAGTTCAAAAAAGATATTGACAACCTGGGAGAGAAACCTAATGTTCTTTGTATTCAGGAAACATGGCTGAAAGCACAGCTGGATTTTATTGTGAAGGGATATACTGCAGTTAGACGAGATAGGGACTCTGGCAGAGGGGGAGGAGTTGCAACATTCATACAGAGTGGGATAAGTTACAACGTTATGCATGTAAGTACAGATCATGAAGCAATAGTTATAAGGGTATGGAATGATAGAGGACCTATAGATATAGTAAATTATTATAATGTGGGAAATTAGATCAAAGTATATTAGAGGATGCTGGGGGTTCACTGCAAGACAAAGTAATATGGTGTGGGGGGTTTAATTCACATAGCTCGCTATGGGGAAGCAGTAGCACAGATGCAAATGGGGCAGTAGTTGAGGAATGTATAGATGACCTCGGGCTAGTGTGCATTAACACTGGAGAAGGAACACGATATCATTGCACGAAGAATATAGAAACAGTACTCGATCTGACATTTGTATCTAGTGCTTTAGCAGGTATAAGTACATGGAATGTGGTAAAGCATACTACAGTGGGCAGCGATCATTATCCGGTAATGACTAAAGTTGGGACCAACATCAGGTTTGAAAAGGAAAAGAAAATTCCTAGATGGAAATTGGGAAAGGCTAATTGGGATGCCTTCCAAGTTGTAAGTACGAATAGATGTAAAACACTTCAAGAGGAAAATGATGATGATATAAATAAATGAAATGATGAGCTGGTTAAGGTTATCATTCATTCAGCTAAAGAAACACATCCGGAAAGTGCAGGAGTTAGGCGCACCAAGAGTGTACCCTGGTGGAATGGTGATTGTAGTAAATGCATTAAAGACAGAAATAAAGCATTCAGGCAACTCAAACAACTCCATTCTCAGGAAGCTTTGAATCAGGATAAAAGGGCCCAGGCTATAGTGAGGAGAACAATAAGAACGCAAAAACGCACTTCTTGGAGGCAATATTGCAATAGTATTGGAAGAGAAGTACAGCTTGCAGATGTTTGGGGCATGATTAGGAGAATGGGGGGAAGTCGAAGGAATTATGAGTTGCCAGTTTTGAGCAGAGGGGACAAAATGGCTGTCACAAACGTAGGAAAGGCGGAACTTCTAGCTCAAACATTTAGGAAAGTTCATAGTTCAGATAACCTTACAGAGGAAGCCAGGCAGTGCAGAAATAATACACGAATGGAAAACCCGAGAATATTGGATAGAGTAGAAACGTTAGGAGATCAGTTGGACCTGCATTTTAGTATGTTTGAGTTGAGAAGAGCAATTATTAGTGCTCACCAAACCACTCCTGGGAAAGATGGTGTTTGTTACAAAATGCTGGAACACATGACAGATAACTCTCTAGTCATTGTGTTAAGGTTGTTTAATATGGTGTGGGATTCTGGCCCACTTCCTTCAGAGTGGAAACAAGCGATAATAGTGCCCATCCTGAAGCCAGGGAAAGACCCTTCAGATCCATCTAGCTACAGGCCTATTGCCCTGACGTCTCATTTATGCAAAATCATGGAGAGAATGGTTACAGAAAGGTTAACATATATCTTAGAAAGTAAAGCTCTGTTGTCCCCATATCAAAGTGGGTTCCAGAGGGGTCGGAATACAATGGATTCTATATTGTGCTTAGAATCAGACATCAGGAAAGCACAGACCAACAAGGAAGTAGTGATTGCAGTCTTCTTTGATATTGAAAAGGCTTATGACATGCTCTGGAAGGAAGGACTACTAATCAAGTTCAAATCATTGGGAATTGGTGGTAAAGCATATAATTGGGTTATGAATTTTTTACTGGACAGGAAAATACAAGTAAGAGTAGGTGCAGAATATTCAAGTGTTTATGCTGTGGAAAATGGTACTCCGCAAGGTAGTGTGTGTAGTCCGTTGCTGTTCAATATAATGATGCATGACATTTTTAATCAAGTTCATCCAAGTGTGGGGAAATCTTTGTATGCAGATGATGGGGCTTTGTGGGCAAAAGGCCGCAATGTAGCACATGTTGGAAAGAAAATACAAGCTGCAATAGTTGAAGTGGAGAAATGGACAAATAAATGGGGATTCAAACTGTCAGTAGCTAAGACGCAGGTCATTTGTTTTACAAAACGGCAGAACATTGCTCCTATATGGTTACAATGGTATGAGCAACCTCTTGAACAGGTTAATACAATAAGATTCAAGGTCAACAATGTACTTCGGTGTTTGGCG